AAATTAATAATAAATATCTAAACATACAAATAAAAATTCCTATAATAGCCCAATATATATTAAATTCCAATTAAATTCCACAGAATATTCTGCTAAAAGTAATTCAAGTGGGTGTTAACGGATTTCGTAATGAAAATCTATATGTAATTTATAGCTATATATACAGTTTTGTAGACCTTTAGCTCCCATTCCCCTCCACACACACTCTCATCGCTATAGTGAACCACATCTGCTTATCTGCAGTCCTATTATCCCAACGACTTATCCATGCATTCAATACATTGCTATTTAGTGAACCATTAAAATCCCATTCAAGTCATCCAATCGTGTATTGATGCGAATCATCCGAAAACCCAATTCCCGGTACACTCTATATGTTATGTATAGTCTGTATGTCTGTATAGCCCGTCAATGCCCAGTGACATCTCAATCGATACAAAACCATTATTTTCTCTCCATCTGTAAACTATTGCAAACTTTTCCTGACGTGTATGTCCTGTCCTACTGTCCGTTTTGTGTGTGTATACATCTATGTTTGTCTCTCATGTCTATCATATAGTATCGAAAATAAAGTTTTATAACATTTTCGGTCCACCAATACATATACATGTATGTAATGGTCGGATACCATAGCGTATGTGTTAATCGCATAATGACATGATATATAAACAGACAAATACACCGAAAAAAAGTATTACAAAATTCCCCAAAATTTTATTGAATCACAAAAATGACAGAATATTTTTCATACACACATCCCGTTCCCCTCATATATACACTCCCCGTTCACAGATGGTCCCTGCTTTGTTCACGTCAACATATACCTGAGAAGTATTAGCAAAATAAGTGACCTGGATATGGTACGTATCGCACGTGTGTAACTAGGTGTTTTTTGATTAGTGCTTCAAGTGTGTTGTCCCTAACATAAGTATTTACACAAATGTCTAATTAAGTTGATATAAATACTTAACCTAGTATTAAATAAAATGTAATTAATTTTAGGAAACTATTAAATATTTTATTAATTGTGTGGTAAATAGTGGTGTATTAAACGTATAAATGTTAAATATAAAAAGTAAAATAAATTTACAATATTGTGAATAAAATATCTTAGAATATGAATATAGTACTGTACTATTTTAGTTAGTAATTAAAATATTTATATTATCAATAATATAAGTACTAATATAAGTAAAGTATTAATTTTTATAAGTAACTTTAATATTTACATAGACATACAAGTAATTAATTTTTAAAAATAATAAAAACAGTATTTTTTTTAATTGTATCTATTATAATTATCAATTACTGTATTAATGGAAACAATTAGTGATCACCGGATATAGCAAACAATTATAGTAACGACAGGCGCCTAATGGACAGACATCTAATGATGCACTGATACTATAAATACAGTATCTAGTTAATTTAATTTGATGAAAATAACTTCATCGATAAAAGGGATTAAATAACAAATGAAATTAATTTTCATTTATTACAATAATTATTTTAATCAATAATTTTGATGACATTTCTCTCTCTCTCTCTCTCTCTCTCTCTCTCTCTCTCTCGGAAATAAATTACCGAAAAATATTAAAAGCAAAACGACTCCTAATATAATAAGTGAAATAAATTTTAGTGTCAGAAAAGTATTTCTATTGTGTATTAGTTTTCTATATAGGGATCAAAATTACATGTAATTTAGACATTCGTAATGACTTTAGAGTCCGATAGAGTTATCGACAATAATGATAAGCCATTCACTCATTCATTGTTATACTGAAAATCAATTGAACTGTCATTACGTTTAGATACACACAATAGGCTCATAGGACGCCATTGTCTGACAATTTTTTGACACCGACTTTAAATCATATCAATTGTGAATTGATTGAAAAATTGTGAACAATTTTATTTATTTTTTGTTACTAGCTTATATTTCAATCGAGACTTTTGTGTGTTAATAGTATTTAACGGCTTTTGGGAAGTAGTCTATAAATCATCGATGAATTAAATTTTAGAGAAAGTGTTAGAATTTAATCAAAAATAAGATTTTTTAAATTAAAAGTTTTTACCCATTTTGTGATAGTTTTTGATTAATAGCAATAAATGCGAAAAGTTTTTTGAATAGTTATAAATTAAGTTTTTAAATAAAATATTGATATTTATTTTTAAAATTATTCAATTCTAAGCAATTTTGTGACAATAAATCTATTATTTGGTATACTTTGTATAATAATATAATTTAAATACTTTGGTGAAATAGCATACAATAAATGCAATTATAATTTAATAGGCAATAATTTATATGTCAAAACCAGATCGCATTACATAATAAAAACTTTATTTTGCTTTAAAAATCAAACCTCCTTATAAACGTATCAAATATTTTATTTTTCATATCAACTAATATTAAAGTCATTATTAAAATACTCTTAAAATGTCAGCTTTTTATCTGAAACTCTTAATGTCAAACATAAACAGAGTTATAAAATATTTCTATCTACACAAGCTTATTCAAAAAATAATTATCAATCATATACATGTTTACAGAATATTCTTGACATAATCATAAAATATATTAAAATTTGTATTTCATATGCCCTTCACTATAACGAGTGTTCACTATATTTCTCAATGCATTAGCTTTTAAGTCGTGAACACAATAGACGTTAAGTAAGTATAAGAGAGAAAACTATAACTTCAAAAGAAAATCTCTTTTTTGTATTGTTTACACTTTTTTGACACAAAAAATATATGAATCAAGAAATGAGAAATTTTTTTGTCATATTGTTTTCCGGCACAACAAAAGTCTTAAAAGTTTTTCAAAAAACTTTTCCTTTTATTTATTATTATTGCTATTATTTGAGAGTTACTCTACTTTTGTACTGTCTATTCAGCCTATCGTATAGATTTATATTTTATCTAGCACATTACATACTTATTGACTATAATAGGAGAACAATATTTTAAATCATACTTGTTAATCAAAAATCTATAGTATTTTTAATTTTAAATTTATTAAATTATAAATTATTAATCTAAATATAGAAATGAACATTTTGTAAAGGTTTATAATAAATATAAAATATATATTTATTTTTAAAAGAAATTTAATTAATTAAAAACATTTTATTAGCCCAGTTTAAAAGACCCGGATATAAATTGAACACAAATATACTTTCTATATGGAGAGGCCATAAACCAAATGGGAAAGCAGTTTTTCAAAAGAAATAAAATAAATGACATTTTATGTGTCGACTACTTTTAGCTCAACACAAAAAATAGAGACAATTCTTTTGACTTTTAATTGAAGTTTCATTTGTCAATAGAAAGTCGATTCCGAGAGTCAAGAGTGAGTAGCGATTGAGAGCACCGATAGCCTCATAAATGGGAAGTTAGATAACTATACCCTAGTATATGTACAGTACAGCAATGTATACAGGAATCGGTATAAACTTGTGCCTGACTTTTGACATTAGGATCTCTATTCCGCTATAAATTTCGTGGTAATCGATACATACAATTGATTGAATGCCCGGAATATTTAGCTATGAATGGGTTATAAATAAACGCGATTCAGACTTTGACTCTTATAAAGTAATAATAATACTGTTTTATACTTGAAATAGCAATTTAATGCATTATCTGTCTATTGAATATCCTGGTCAATGCATGTACAGTAGACATGACATTAAATAGAATATACCGTAGATTAGGTAAATAAATATCAAACATGTTGATTTTATTTAATTATTTATATGTTATAGAAATTTTTATATTTATTGGATAATTTATAAAGTGAAAATTTATTCATAAATTCAAAATAACTATAAATACAGTATTAAATTGATAATATTTATACCAAACATTTAACTAATATCCAGAATCTATAGTCATATTAATAAATTACACAAAATATTTTATATATGGTTTTTATGGCAGCAATTGTCAAAACACAGCTGCCATACATGTGAAAGGGATGTACACACAGAATGTATAGAATATTCTGTGTGCTATTATATACCATATAAAACACATCACTAGTATTTATATGACATACGATATCATAAACTAGAGGTCATAGACGGTGTGCCTCTGGTGTCATGTATTGGTGGCAATAAAACATAAATTTATGAATAAAACCATCATAAATTATATAAATTTGTATTTTATGTATATGTAAACAGTATGTGTGCTTGGTATAAATGGAGTTGAATTAATATATACACTATATTCAGGCTATTTATATATATATACAGTATATATATCTCGTGTTGTGTCTATTAATTAATTTAATACACAATACTATTCCAGAGATAATGAATGAATTTTTATGTCACACTATATACCATACACTAGTGTCTGAAAAAAATTGTTTATTTAATATAATTAAAAAATGTAAATTCTTTTTATAGCAAAAATATTCTTTAGATTTCAATACTTGATAACAGAATTAATTCTTATGGACGAAAAAAGTTTTATAAATACCCAAAATAAACAACAAACTGTTAATTAGTTTTTGTGAAACTAATCTCGCAATCTTTTCAATTATATTCACAGCACTCGTGATCTAAATATATACCAAAAATAGAGAGAATTTTATATAAAACTAAGATTTAATCCCTTTTATACAGTATTAACATCTCGTGTATTTCATAATGAGTGCAATGGATGTAACAAACTTCAAGACTAAGCTTTTATTTACTTTAATATCTTATTTATAATAAGATTACTTATGAAATATAGTTTAATCATTAGTTTATAGTTGTCATTTTACTATTTTACCTTTGACATTTTATAAATGCTATATTAATAATAAATTTTTTAAACTTTACATTTTGTATACTCTTTATATTACCGTTATATATATTAACTAGCATAATTAATTAATTCATACATAAACTAACTTCTATTATAGTTTTTACTGAATATAAGTTATCATAAACTAATACTCGAGAATATTCTGCAATAACATACATACAATTAACTGTAACGCCTGTATCCATGATAGGAATACTCAGTTCAGGTGACATTCCGGGAGCAGTGGAATGACAATCGACTCCAGTTTGACGACATGAATGGTCAGATCAGGTACCTGGTGCTCACAGACCCTGAGCGTATCTGGAAGCCCGACCTGTTTTTCTCCAACGAAAAGGAGGGCCACTTTCACGAGATAATTATGCCAAACGTATTGCTCCGTATATACCCAAATGGGAACGTCTTATACTCCATACGTATATCATTAGGTACTTTCCACTACATCTACTACATTATCATTATTATAACCCCCGATATATTATATCATCCCATTCCCTCCCTAACCCTTAATAGTGATTATATACGTGTAGTATGTATGTGAGCTTAATGTAATAAAAATGTAAAATAGTATTTTAAAATGCTTTTATGCAAATTGTTTTTTGTTTGTTTCTTAAGACAAATTTGCTATCATTTTGTATAGCATTGTATACCAGAATTTCTTATTATTTGTAATACTATTTTTTTATCCATTTCCCTATGGGTGCGCTTAATACACCACTACAGTACTTGCCTGTCCAATGGATCTCAAATATTATCCATTAGATAAACAAACTTGCTCCATTACCATGGCCAGTTGTGAGTAGAATATTCTTATACTCATTATGTATTGTAATTCTCGCTATAATACTATTCTTATGTAGAATATTGTTATATACATATTATAAGGGGGTTTCAGGTTTTAAAATTCAATTTGCGTACGAAATTGAAATATATATTTTTTTCATACTTCAAGGTTTTTATTGCAAATTCATAGACAAACAGAATTTTTACAATTTATATGAAAATTTAATCATAAGAAAAGTAGAAAAACCTTTGGATAGAAAAAATAAATTCAAATTTTTTGGCATAAAATATACAAATTTTATTCTAAAAACTTTTGTTGTATTTTCAGTAATAATTTATAGCAAGGTTAGCAAATGTTCAGTACACTTACTACTATTTGTTTTACTATTATTTGTTCATTATATGAGTGAAACACCATTTTTGCTTAATAAACAAAAATATTATGTGCTAACTGATTTTAGTAAAAATATATAACATTATATAATAAACACATAAATGTAAGTGATAAATTATAAGCTATAACATAATTTGATCCAAATTACTACTATATTGATTAATGAAAATATTTTTCATCCAATAATAAATGTGCCTGGACAATAGATGGTTACACGACCGATGATCTGGTGTTTTTATGGAAGGAGGGTGACCCAGTACAAGTCACAAAAAATCTCCATTTGCCACGTTTTACACTAGAAAGATATTTGACCGCATACTGTACGAGTCGCACAAATACAGGTAAATCAATAATAAATTTATCATGCTTATATAATTTATAATGGTATTTACGACATTTAACATGTTGGATTTTAAACAGTGTTTAAGGTTTATGATAATTAATTGATAGTTAGATACAAGTGCTACATTCCTATTCACATGCAATTCTTATGGGACAACCTTATAATCAATTGAAAGTTAAATGTAACACATATTCTGTGATTAATAGCTATCTTATAATAAATTAATTTTATCCGAATAAATTTAATTTACAAAAAACCTAACCTAATTCATATAATTAAGTGCATACAGTACTAGTATTATATTCCTAAATAATTGCAAAATATAAGTACAAATGGACTGCAGCTGTATATACAGTATTGACAACAAAAAATAAACTCAATTTTATATTTGTATAGAATATTCTCGTTTTTGTGTTCATTTGAGTCTCGATTCCGTGATAAAAGCCTTTCCAATAGCTCGCAAAACTAATGGCAACAAAACATATAACAAAAATATATCCGAGAAAACTGATTGTTAAATATGTTTTGGATGCACAAGAAATTTGACACAAGAATTGTTGAGAAAGAAAATGAGAAAATTATTTCCTCTTTTCATATGTGTTTTCACTCCTAAGAGTAGTGTCAGAGAGAGAGAGAGAGAGAGAGAGAGAGAGAGAGAGAGAATGAAAAATCAATTTTTTTGTTATTTTGCAGCGAAAAAAGTGCTAAAATAAACGGAAATTTCGGATTTTTAGCGACAAATATATAATGGATAATAAAATTTCCAGAAAACACTTATTTATCACATATTTTTTTTGCTTACAATTATAGCTAAATAAAACAAAATTTGACTTTTATTTTATAGCAAATACATTATTAATTTTAATATAAATTCTTATATTTAATAAAAAAAAATTATACTGTACATCTATTGACAGCAATTAATTTTGATTTAGATATTATACAAAAACTACTTTCTAAACATATATCTATTAAATGTATTGAAAGTATTATACATTAGATGGGAATAACATATTTAACCGATTTATGTCATTATATATCACAAACTATTTGTTACTAAATTGCTTTCAATTAAGATCTCAAACATAGGCCGAGTTTTCTATTCCTAACTCTTATATTAGATTTTTCTTCTCATTTATATCTAATATATTAAAAGAATTGATTCAATGCTTATGTCTAATGAGTTGTGGAAATATTTTTCCAAATAAATATATTACGAGTCTCTCTCTCTCTCTCTCTCTCTCTCTCTCTCTCTCTTGGATAACAATTTTTTGTTCAATTCATGTGAGAAATGATCCGAAATATCACATTCTTGTTGTCAATTAATATATCCTAATATACATTATAGTAGAAATGGCAAGAATTTGTGGGCCAGGAGGGAACTCCTAGTAGAAAATTATATCATCAAACACAAATTAATTGTATATTTTAACATACATATTGTAAATTATATGATATTAATTATATAAATTTTTAAGTATAATCATAAAATATGTCAAAAAAGTAAATGTGTATACCCGGCCAACAGCCCTACCATAGCCCTGTCTATGCCATATATTTGTAGACATAAGGCAAAGCAAAATCGAAATTCTTGTTCAAATAATACTCAGTATTTTTGCACACATTTCTAATCAAACGTTAATTTTTTCGTTTTTCTTATAATTCTGTATTTTCTGTGTTCAGGAATTAAGTCAATACTCAATGCATTCAATGCTTATACAATATATTTTTCTGTATTTTCTAAGCCTTACTCCAGTCATAAGATTACGACATTTTGCTATTGATTTATCAAATTATTTATAACGTGTACTAAAAATATTTAAAATATTGGTTTTACTGTACCGTATATTACTATTGTTTGAAGAATTTGCTGATTAGATAAATTATATTATATTATAGCTTTATATTATTATTTTACATTTAAAACCTTACAATTAACCATTCATACTTTTTTAAAATACCGATACAATTAATTTAGTTACGGATTAAACTTACTTCATTATATCCGAGTTCACTATACTATATGATATAGTCTATATCACATGCCTATCGATTTAAACTTAAACTAAATCCATTACCACTTATATCTAACTATAAGCATCCTATGTTTATTTATACTGTATAATATAAACCGTACTTAAAAATGGACTATTTTTAAGTGAAATGAAAATACAGTATATTTTACTTCTCAATTTCTATATTTATATAAATTTATTTTCCCTTAAAGTCTACACGTTTCTATCTGATATCATATTATTATATAAGTCTTATATAAAGTTTTGTTAAGTATTTATTTTACAAAGTTTTCATCTCTCAACAAATAATGAGATATTCTGGTTTCTCATCACATGAATTCAATTCTTGAAATGTGTTTTACTTTTATATTTTCAGTAATAATAAGATTTGGTACAGAATTACGACATATAAAGCCCTTTTCAATAACGAGTGTCTGTTTGAATGATATATTTATAACATTTTTCAAAAACATTTTTTAACATTTTACTCACAATTAGGCCAATAATTTGTCGAAATATATGAAATCTTATGCATTATGTATGACTTGCAAGAGAGAAGTTACTTATGTTTTGAAATTTAATATAATTTTTCGAGACATATATAGACAAATGTATGTTAATAGAAATGATAGAAATGACAGTCTCTTATGAAATATACGATATATTTCATGTCATATACTAAATGTGTTACTCAAACATAAAACACAGAGAAATCATTGAATTGGATTGTACAAAATTGTGCCTACTTAAATTAAACCCAATTTATTAATCAACACTATAATATAAATTAGTTATTGAATAACTACTTAGCAAGGCTAGATACTTATTAACACTATATTTATACATGGTTATCAGGTTATATAACAATCTAAGATTAGAAACATTTTAATATACAAAGTAAAGGGTAACGACAAGCAATGTAGATTGAATTAGACTTTTATTTCACATATAACACAAACATTTGGTATTAAAATAGGGACTCAATTATTATTATTATTTGTTTTATGTATTGTCAGTCCATTAGAGACACATCTCTAAGGAATCCCCAGAATATTCTCTATGTGTATATGTATTGCTAAATGAAAAACATATATACACATACACTGTATATATGTATACGTAACATGTGTATAGTGTATATATAAAATGTACTCAATTTGTATAAAGTGCTCTTAACATAACAAAGTTAGAGACACTTTACTACTTAAAAACATAGACATTGAAAAAGTATATATAGTTTGCTGGAGGACTCAATTTTCTCGTCCTATAAAACTAAAAACTAAATTAAATTTATAGACATTTTTTTCGGGCACTATTAATGAATATTTTATGCGAAATAAATCTAGTTTGTACAAATCCATTAAAGTAGTTTTGTCAGGTGACTATTTTAGTATACAAGTTTAGTTTAAAGTTTAGGCAATCACTTAATGTAATTAATTTGTTTATAATGTTTTTATGAGTAAATTGTTAATAGAAAAGTATGTTAATTAAAGTTACTTTTTTGTTATAAATGATCTCTCTCTCTCTCTCTCTCTCTCTCTCTCTCTCTCTCCATAATGTATTGAATTAAATATTAAATATAAATGATTGATATTTACGTTATTCACAAATATGATTAATTCACTAATATTTTGCACATTCACTCGCTAACCAAATCAATTGTATTGATTATGGCATAGGGTATCATAAATCAAACTGTCATTTAATAAATCATATTAAATATTTCCAAATGTATACAAAACAACTAACTCAAAACACCTAGCTTACTATAATAAAAAATAAAAATTACCTACATACTTCAAATAAACACTGTATCCAAATAAAATCCAAGTATAATAACTATAAATTACTACCATAATTGTGATACTAGTATAAAAATTAATTAAGTAACTAATTACTACCGTTCCCTCCCATTCCCCTACAAAAAACAGGTGAATACAGTTGCTTGAAAGTGGACCTCCAGTTCAAGCGGGAGTTCAGCTACTACTTGATCCAGATCTACATCCCGTGCTGTATGTTAGTCATCGTCTCGTGGGTCTCGTTCTGGTTGGACCCGAACGCCATACCGGCCCGGGTATCGCTGGGGGTGACCACCCTGCTCACTATGGCCACCCAAATCTCGGGCATCAACTCATCCCTGCCCCCCGTCAGCTACACGAAGGCCATCGACGTGTGGACGGGCGTGTGTCTGACGTTCGTGTTCGGGGCCCTATTGGAGTTCGCCCTGGTCAACTACGCCTCCCGGAGCGACGCCCACAGGGCCGCCCTTAAGCAACAACAGGCCTCCTTTCTGGCCCAACGCAAGTGGGACGTCGAGCACTCACAGGTGGACTCCGACCATATTGAGGACGGGTCGGCCGCTTTCGCTATGGTATGTGTTTGGATAGGATAGCCCATTATGTGTGTGTTAATTGGGTCAGGGTATATGTGTTTAGGATGTATGGGGTAGGTGCCAGGCTTATTCTGGTAGTTTAATGATTTAAATAACTATAGTTTGGTTAGCTTTATATGGTTAGTGGCGGTGAATGAAGTAGAATATTCTGTATTATACGGTTTATGCTGTGCTATCGATTAGGTAGTGGTTGTTATATTTAATGAACAGTATCAAGGATATTTAGATTGATATAAATTTATACTAGGTATTTTTATGAATATACATATTTTAAACTTAATTCCGTGACTAACAATTATAATAAAACAAATATTTTAAAGTTTTTAATATATTGTATTAATTCTTAATTTATTTCAATTTAAAACAAAACAAAAAGTGAATTTTGGTTAACTAATGAATAATATAATAATTTTATTTAAATTTGAATGAGAAATATTTTATAAAATGAGCATATTTGAAATTATGTCTAATATTTAGTATATTTTATGCAAATCAATGCACAGAAAATTCAATGCAAAAATAATTTGAATTTCTAATTACTGTCACGAAAATTATATTTAAATTTACAATCATTTTTCTGTGATATGTTTTAACGTGAATACTGAATAGACTACTCAGTCGTGACTGACATTAAGTTTTTCTAAATTCAAGTCATTATTAATTGTAATTAAAATTATATACACATTAATTCAAGCAAAAAAGTTTTAATGAAATAATAAAAATACTTTTTCATTAGAAAAACACACAGAATATTCATATTACATATTAAAAGTTTTTTTTGCAATCTATAATTATACATTTATTTTTTTATAATATCAGATAAGTTTAGTATTGTTATCTCAATGCAAGATTTAATTAGTTTTTATATACATATGAATCGTTTGATAGCAAAGGGAAACAAGTCTGAATGCAAATACAAGGTATTGAACTAAATGTAATGGTTTAGCCCATTAAGCTTATATACCTGACACAAGTTTAAATATAGACTTGTTTTCCTTTGCTATCAAACGGCTCATATGTGATATTGATATTTTTATAATTTAAAAGCTCATTTTAGCAAAGGGTGGTGGTGGGGAGTAGAATGGTGTAGCGGTTAGAGTGTCTGCTTAACAATAGCTAAGTTAAGGTTAATCAATAGGAGACCACATCAAAGCAAGTGTAGGGGACATGAGATCTCATCCCAAGCGGGGAACAATTTTTTTTATTAAAAGTTTTAAAAAGTTTTGAAGTATTATACTTTATATGTGCAAAATATTTAGTAGTTTTATTAATACTTGTATCATATTTAGCGGATTTAAAAGTAATAGTTATAAATGTGTTTTCTAAGAATTCAATGTATTATATCAGTATAAATTATACTGTATAATATTATATGCAAATACAAATATATAGAATTTTGAAATTAATTTACATGAAATCGTTTTATTTGATGTTCAAAATGAATTCAACACATTTTAATTAGATTTTTTATGCATTATGACTAAAATTATCTTTCTAAAAATAACAATGTTATATAATGTACAGTACTTACAAATAGATTATAAAGTTCACATGTATTTCAATCATGAAAAGGTCAAGTACTGTTGTGGACAGTAATACCGGTGCCCTTTTCAATGCCAATCCGATTCATGATTTGTTTTTTATTGTCGGCCACTCTTGACAGACAGTATAGAAGTAGTGATTAATTTAGTTTTAGTTATAATCGTCGATATAATCAATAACTTCAATAACATTAACTGAGTTTACAGAATATTCTTAATATACTTTTTTGTAATGCCCTTTTAAACTAAACATTTTTTCTAGTATAAACAATAGTTTTCTATATTTATCTAAATATATAAAAATCTATTTTTATTTCTAGAGATAGATAGATAGATAGATAGAGAGAGAGAGAGAGAGAGAGAGAGAGAGAGCTATATATGAAAAAGACAAACGAGTCGTGAATTTGTCACTAAATATATTAGTGTCTCGATTGACAACTCCGTATAAAATATATCTATAAAATAGTGAATCGATTTAATATCTACTTCACTCTCATAACAGAATATTCTGTGTGTATATCTATAGACTTCACTAACAACAACAGCAAAAACTACTGTAATATTTGTAGAGCTTATACACTCACACATAAAAATGAAGTTATTTTCATCGCCCGACTGGCCCGAGGGCTAGTACTCTGACAGCCTGTATGTACACTATATATATGCCATTACTTTATACAATACCAGTGCTCTAGTGAGCTAACAGCGCCTTTATTACTACTGTTTAGAGCCCATACTATACTTATTTGAAGAATTAGTCAATAATTCTTACCGTTTTCCCAGAATTTCCAGAATATATTCTGTAAACACTTGAAGCATAGGTTTTCAGGGCTCCAATAGTTCAGAGTATAATAAGTGGGTATTATTTAAGAGCAAAATTTATGACAATATATTAGTTATACTGTAGTAGACTACAAGTACTATTCAGCCCCGGTGCTATTATGTATTCACAGACAAATATGAGTTTTATATTCTTGAAGTGTTTTTAGGAAAATTGCAAATATTTTTGTTTTTTAACCCAAATATTTTGCCAAATGTGTAATGCATTCAAATTGTGGTTTCCATATAAATCATCACAAAATAGTATATTTTATAGTTAAATATTCTGTGTATGTATTTTACATAATTTAACGTGTAATATAAGCCATTAGTTGTGTAAATATCTTTAAACAAACAATGCATTATAAACTTAAATATAATATATATTATATAAAAATATAAATCAACTTTCTATCAAGTGTATACCATAGTGAAATTGTCATAATCCATATGAAAGGATATACATGAGAAGGTTCTTTAATTTTGTGAACAGAAACTGTAAACTATAGTTAGGACTAGTGTACAGGCAAACACCGGCACTAAAATCCATTTGATTATATATATAATATAAGTTATTTTTATTATTAATGAATTTTAATTTGTTTAAATTAAAAATAACCTTTACTAATAAGATTAATTAAAACTTATTAATAATAAAAATAACTTATATTATATTTAAAATCAAATGGATTTTGGTGCCGATATTTGCCTGTACACTAGTCCTAACTATAGTTTACAGTTTATGTTCACAAAATTAAAGAACCTTCTTATGTATATCCTTTCATATCTTCCCGGTGCCCACTCATGAAAACACCTAGATCAATACTGTCTGACATTTACAACTAAATATCACAAAAAATTTTGATTTTTATAAGATTTGCTTATATTTCACAAAATATTTTATACACACTTCAAGGCATGATTGTGTAATACATATCACAGAATATTCTTATCTAAAATTGGTTTATGATTTCGGTTTATATATACATAGAGTCGAAAGCAAAAAGTATAACATTTTTTATATGAACTGTCAGTTGCATAAAGGACTGCCTTTTTTATTGTCACTACGGAGTATAAAAAATGTTTCACTACTTTCCCCCATATACCCGGCCCACTGTTTCACAACATGCATGCCTACCATTCCGTAGCCTAAAACTCCCGGTGCTCTGTTATTCTTATTGATCTGTATTTTATATGTATTTTTAGATTTTAAGTCATGAAAAAAGTCTCATTTTTTGTGTACTTAAGAGACGTATAAGAATTTGAATGCCGTATAGGAATTGATGGTAAAAATAGACGTAAACTTTGATATATAATAAGGATTTCGGATTTTTATATAAAAATATTCTGAACAATAGATTTTGAAATCAAAGTTGTGGATAATTTTGTGCGTTATTTTAATAAACCATTTTATTTTATAAGCAATATATAATACTGTACATTATTATAATTATAGCAATATAAGTAAGCTTATGCTTTTCTATTAAATATAGATTTTTCTAATTATTTAGCATGCTACTTTAATAGTAGAATAATGAACTCTATTTACTAATTATTATAGACTATTAATTTATTTATTAATTAATAGTTAATGTATATAAAAAAGATATTTAAACAATTAATAATTTTAAATATGCCAGACATTTTTTATAAAACAGTAACTAATGAGAAAATATTCGAAAATTTACTTTATCTTGATCAGTTTCAGTTCAGCAATTACTGTAGTAATAGTATACAAATTATTCAGTGTTTTATCATTGATTTATTTATTACATGCTTTCAAACACACACTTACTGTATATGTAATGCAATTAGAAATCTTACAAATAATTAATCACCATTTAATGTGTGCATTAATTAATTGCAATTTTATTGGACACGAGTCTCACTCAATTGGAAACATACAGCTCTATTCAGGGGAAAGGGATTACATGGAGTTACTCTATAATTCATAATACAATAAAACTATAAACTCTTTATTGTAAATACACGCTAAATATTAATAGAAATTAATCAATTAATCATTCAAAATAAAAACAATATTGATCAGTATTTAGTTAACGGAATATTCCTAATATTATGACACAAACATCATAATTCAAATAATAAGCTTAATGTGTTTTAAATACATGGAATATTCCTGCTAATTAAATCATAAATTATTAATAAATTCCCATTTGATTATAATATTTTCTACACTATATAAAACTATTAACTCTCACATATTAAAAACTTTACAAACTAATACTCAACACAATTACCTATGTATGAAAAGTACTTGGTAATATTTAATATAGATATAACCACTATACTTGCTAATACAGCATAAACCTACTATCATACTTGTTATCATGAAAACAAAAAGATCCAAACTATAACTAACATATCGTTCACATCCCAACCCCCACCTCGACTAACTAGCGCCCACTGGTCCGCCACCACACCCCGGGAGGGACGGGTAACGCACACGACGAGAAGCTGAGGGCGTGTGAGATACACGTGTCTCTACCCAAGAAGAACTGGTGTAAGCGATGGCTCTCGAAATTCCCGACCCGTTCCAAGCGAATCGATGTCATCTCCAGAATATTCTTCCCGTTAATGTTCGCGCTCTTCAATCTCGTCTATTGGACTACTTATCTCTTCCGCGAAGATATGCAGGACTTCTAGAGGGCACAGACACCTCGTATTCATGATGTTATACATGATGTTTACAGTATACTACCATAGGGTGTATATAAATTATGTATGGTTGTTTGGGTAGCGCCGGTAGTAGTGGTCTGGCCAATGTGTTTTTTGATATGATAATGTAACATGTTCAATACATAGGTTCTCGTGGCATACGATATTAATATGGATACAATTTGTTTTTCATGTATATTAAATGGTTTTTATGATGGTTATCATGAATTGTAATTAATTTGTGTTTTGTTTGTTTTAATTGTACGAATACCTTGTTACCAGAAAAGTGGAAATTGTTAATACAACTTTTTATGTATAGATTATAAGTATTTAATATAAACATAATTATATAGATTATTTCTCGTAAAGTAATAGACAAGTAATTAATATAATACGAAATCTCTCGACAAGAATTAAAATTACAATTTTATAATTTTGATTTTAATTTTTTGTAATATTTTCATTTCATGTCATACATTGAAAATGTGTGTATAATTAGACGTCCATTAGTATGTTATTTACTGTATATACATACAGACACACAAACATAATTGATAAGTAAATTGACAAAACTAATTTTTATTATCAATTTCAAAATATAATATACATGATACACTTGTTTTCATAAATGTAAATATTTGTATCAATAATTATGGTTTTCAACAGAAATTATTTTCTATACTTTTTATTATTAATTGTCTTATGATTTAAAATTTCATTGGACTGATGGGTACGGAAAGGAAAGTTGTTTTTAGGGAAAAATAATTTCAAACAAAATTTGTCATTCATTTTATGTTATAAATGTTATTCACAAGTGATTAGACAGACAATGAATTTTACAGAATATTCTGTAAAAACATGTTTTGATCGCTATATGAATGGTAATGAAATAAAACAATTAACTATTTTATAGAATAATACCCCTGGGCATTAAATAGTTGTCATATTTTATTATAAAATATTAGACACAAAAAAACTAAAAACTCGCTATAATTATCCAAACAATTGGCTACCAATTAATCATTACATGTATTCAGTACTTCATACAGTAATTTCCACTATAATAGGCATTGATTGGGACATTAAGTGCATGCAATCCATGGCTACCATCCCATAAATCCTAATAAACATTCAAATGCTGTAATCATTTCTAATGATTAGATGTTAACACAAGTGTTAGACTCGAGAAAAAAGTCAAATTTGTCACTAATTTAGTGTTTGACTACAGAAAAAAACTATACATTCATTGAGTACATGGAGTCAGCACTTTATGCCAATAGTATCGTAATAGACATATACATTAAGGGACAGACAGTATACACACATAAAAAGTAAAGATTTAAATGACATTTAATTAGTGTAGAGATTGTATATAAGAAAAGTAAAAGACATTTCATCGCAATGACAGACATAACAAAAAATAATGAGCAAAACAAGTGCTTAATCGTCACTCAAGTATTGCTGCCATTAATGCCATACAGACCATACAGTTATGGGTTCTCTTTCTCTCTCTCTCTCTCTCTCTAATAAAGTCTTATTAATTTCTTTTAAGACAAATATTATCCTTAATTACTGGTAATACTGCAACTTTGAAAATTAAATTTATAACTGAAATAACAATATAGTAATATAGTATAGTAGTTATAGTTTATAAACCGGATAAAATCAATTTTACTCCAATAGTAAACACTTATATTCAGTGTTATTATCTCAGAATTCTCTATAATAACAATAATAATAACTAACAGAATATTCTTAATCGCAGCGTTCAAAGCGAAAACAAAACAACACTTCAATCTATACATCAAAATACGATAATTCTGTTGAGATTTGTTTTGACTATTTGTTTGTCATTATTATCATAACGTATAAAAACTTTCGGAAAAAAACTTATTGTATATATGAATAGAAAGGAAAGACACAAAAATTGTTTTATGTATTGAATTGAAAGCTAGAGATAAGGCATACAAAAACACACAATAATTGCGATACTATTGTAGTCAATACGAGAGTTGACAGAATCGAGACCAATATATTCAATGAACTGTAAGACTAGATAACAAATGGTCTCATTTTCTACATAAAAAATACTCAATGAATTTCATACTATTATTGACAGTATTAGACATTTTTGGGAAAAACAAAAATTAATATTTATCTAATCTAAAAAATTGTACCAATATTTAAATGAAACAATATTTTATTAATTGGTGTTTAAATGTATGGGTACTTATAGCGAGTGGTTATTGTAAAACACACACCAATAATAGCTCAATGAAATAGTTATTAAAAATAATTAAAATTATAAAATAGATTTTCAACAGTAATATTAGTCATAATCTGTTTGAGACAGATATGATAGAGCGGGTACAAATTTGTATAAATACTACCTAAGCAAGACTATTTATGTAATAGTAAATTAATCGATTAATTTGTTTTAATGAATGACTAAATAGCGTACTTGTTAATTTAATTTGAAAGTTATTTATATTGTGAATGAATTTTGAGACAGCAAGGTATGAAAAATATATGAAATGCGTATTGTTTAACAAATGGCTCAATTAATATGTTGCCTAATACATAGGTGATATAACTTTACATCCCTGTCCCCATGCACCTAACTGCACACAAACTACTGTATTAAACAAATGTTTTTCACTCATTTAAATAGATTTATTAAAAATAATATCAATATTTATAGCATTTTAACATAAAATGATTTGATTTTAAAAAGTTATATAGAGAATATTCTGTTAAATAGTAAACAAATTTAAATACATAATTGAAATTGTTAATTAAAATAGTAGCTAATAAAACTAATTAACACCTAGGTCACCTATATATGAGATATTGTGTACATAAATGACTTTTTGATTTTTCATGTTTGACTGGAAAGGGATGTTTAAATTGTTTACTGTTTAAAAAACTTTTATATATGTTTTAAAAGTTAACCATAATTACAAAACTCATTATAAAATTCCAAAATAATAATTATGTATCAATATTATAATTGTAAAAAATATGTTATGTTTTATTTAACATATTTGATAAATTAACCTGATAAGTTTTAATTTGTTAATCGTTGTAAAATGCCAAATGATATATACAACACATTTTTTGACAACAAATAACTCCCCCATTAATTAATTGTATTATAAAACTATAAGCAAACAACAAATTATACGATAACATTTTTAAAAATGATTATTAGATATAATGTGAAAAACAAAAAACAATTTTTTGGGAGAAATCTAACAAACAATATACGATAAGCGAAAAAATAATATTTCAATTAACATAATGTAAAACATATTGAAACAAACAATTGTTTTCAAACATAACAAATGTTATCATATTTATTATATACCGTATGAATGAATGAGATTTTTTTGTATGTAATTTAACAAAACAAATTTAAAAATTATATTATAATTAATTTTATTCAATACGAAAAATATATAATAATAATAGACATAAGAAAATCTCATATTAAATATGAAACAAACGAAATATAAAAAACTTTTTGTAGGATTAATATACAGATTAATAAATTAATAATAATTACTGTAATAAAATCGATAAAAATTGAGTTCAATATTGAATATGTGAATAAAAAATTAGTAAATTTATGACACTGTTTAGTTTAATTATAATCATACTAGCAATTTTCTAGCTAATCCGGGTTATATAAATTAAAGCTCCTAGTAATAGTGAATTAAATTTTATATAAAACTTTTTTTAATTAACAAAATATATCTTAAGAGTAGTAATTACGGGAATACCTTTCGCTACGGTGCCCCCGATGACCGACATTATCAGGTGATCCATATCCCCGTCCATATCCATCTCCATGTCCAGCACCATAACCTGCGTAACCATAACCTCCATCGCCGTGTCTCTTATGAGCTCCGGTATCATAGCTATAAGTGTGTGCCTTTCCTAAGTTGTGGCCAAAACCTCCGTGTCTATAATCTCCCTGACCACGACCATGACTTCCATGTCCACTATTTCCATAGCTATTACCTCTAAGTCCAGAACCTCTAAAGCCATGATATTCTGGTTTGTAAGCGCTATGCTTTGAATATCCATAACCTCCATGTCCTCCAAGACCTCCAAGCCCTCAAGTCCTTGAACTCCAAACCTTTTCAAACATTTTTTACATCAAAAACAACTTTTTAGGCAATTATTTAGTTTTAGGTTTTACATAAAAAGCAATTCATTTAAATAACAAAAACTTTTATTAC